AACCACACCATTTGACATCGTGCGCGTAACAAGAGCAACCGGCACCATAGCGCAGACGGAAAACACGCAACGGCCAAAAACTGCCTGGGAGGGCTGTAACCTTCCCATCCTCCATAAAACCCAAATCCTGCAACCGATTAAACCGCAGCATCGCATGTAAAGAAAATGCAGGCCTCTTAGATTTCCCCAGGCACGGACAATTCGTTAGAATAGCTGAATATATATTTCGGATTGCACGACCCGCTTTCCTTCCTGGGTGCCTTTCAGCTCTGGGCCGGCTGCGTCTCACCCCGGCTGCGTCCCGTGGGCTGAATCCTGCCGGGACCACAACCCTGCCCCAGCTTTGGGGGCCGTGCCAGGCAGCACCCTGGGCTGAGGCTGTTTCGAGCAGTAAGGAACGCAACAAAAACTATTAAACACCAAATATCCTTCTGTTACGCACGACTGGCATTATGGACAAACACCAGCCACACTTCAGCATCCTCTTTCTTGGGTGTAAAGACTAATTTTTTGCCTAAGGAAGAACCTAACAAATCAATGCCTGGAATTACGCCTGTGGGAGAGAGTAATTTCTTACAGTCAACAGAAATATTTTCCATTTCAGAGCCACATTCTGGCTAATCTTTCCAGATAATCAAGAAATCAGCCAATCTCCCCGTTCCAGCTTGGCCAGCTGGTAAAGCATCTGACAGCAGAAATAGCTGAAACAATTTGAGCGCAAACATCCCCTTCTTTATTAATTTTCTTCCCCTTTTGTGGGCTTTAGACATGTCAGGGCTGCACAGGGACAGTCTTACAGCTCTGCTGTGCTGCTCCTCGGATGCAGAGGGAGCGTATTCAGTTATACCCCCACCTCCACATTAATTTCAGCAGGCCTGTATTGCTCTGTATGGGGCTGAGCATTTTGCAGATTTTGCAGGTTTTATCTGCTGGCCGGGGTCCACTCCATCCCCAGTTACTCCAAGGAGGGATTTTCACTGCCTGGGTGTGAGCTGCTCATCCCTCACATGCAGCCTGCGGCAGATAATGGGATGCAGGGGTTGGAGAAAAACACGTAGGAACAAAGGACACCAACGTAGAAGAGTCTTCATATTTCCACCCGTAGATATTTTTAGTCTGAAAAGCATAAATGCATCACTGGGATATAAAAAGAAAGCTCCCTGCTGGTCCCTGCACCGGAGACTTCGGTGCGGTGCGGTGCCCTGCCCGCTTCCCACCCCGGTCAAACGCTCGCCCTGCGGCAGGGTGGGAGCAGGGGCTCTGGGGGGTGGGAGGGAGCCCCACTCGGGAAAGAAACAGCCCGTGCTCTCCCACCCCCCCCCGCCCCAGCACAGCCCCTTGTGTTCGGGGAGGGCGGCCGGCCAGCCTGGCTGCCGGCGGCAAACCGCGGCGCGCTCAACCGCCCCTCCTTTGCGGGCAACGGGAACCTTGTATTAACACACGGGCACAGTGCAGCCTACGGGGATGAGCAAGCCTTGGGAAAAAAAAAAAAAAAAAAAAAAAAAAAAAAACAAAAAACCAACAACAAACCAAAAAACAGTAGAATTACTCAGAAAAAAATCCATCAGATACAACTGATTTCCTTTTCAGCTGTCTCCTCAGAAGTGCCCCTTCCGAAAAGCAGAGGTGAAACAAGACTCTTGGCTTGACACTCGAGATGCGAAGCTTTTACTTCTGTGCTGTCCAGATGTTTTAGCACTGGGGCAGCACTCACAGGTGTTGGAAAACCATCTCCCTCTACCCGGGGGAGCCATTGGGCTCAGCTGGTGAGATGCAGGGGGCTCGTCACGGGGGTGTGAATAATACATCGTTATCAGTAAAATGTTTTAAATTGCAGTCATAGACAGTTTCCAACAGGGAGCACACACGTACTTTGCTCGGGAGTTACCACTGGATTTACTCACACCCGCAATGAGGTTACCTCTGCCTACAGCTGCTCTTGGAGGATCAAGTTTTCATCCACTGATTTGTCCAGATCCACGTCTGTCGTCTTAAGCAGTAGCTCAGGACAGAAAAGCTGCAGACCTGCCTGGCCATTTAGTCCAGAGGAACGGCCTAGAAGAGAAGGCTTAATTAATTGTGCGTATTAAGGGTGGGACGGGTGCCACACCGGCAAACTATGCAGCACATTATTCCCTTGGACCTCCTAGAGCCAAAGAGACTGGTCACCTAAGTCACTTCAGCACTCCTGGGGAAAGCCGTGCACAAGAAGCGAGCTCTGGTTGGTTTCAGCTTTGCCCAAGTGCTTCATTTTCTCTGGAGATAAACCGGAGTCATCAGTCTCCAACAGACAGAGATCACTGCATTTTACCAGAGCTAAATAAACCCATAGACAGGATTGACCCTGAAAAGCTTGAGGAAAGCTGGCTTTCTCCCGCAGCCGAGTCTCTGCAGGCACAGCTCGGGACACGGGGGCTCTGCCCGTCCCTCGAAGCGCCGAGGGTGCCGGTCACATCCCAGGCCACCGCCTCCCAGCCTGCTTCCCTAACCTCATCCCCTTTACCCTTGGCAGCAGAGCTCAGGGGAGGGCTCTCCAGCCTAGAGCAGATCAGCAGCATCCGCCGCCTCCTCCAGCCAAGGAGCGAGTTCTTGGCCCAGGCTGCCAAGAAGTGCTGGGCTGTGGTGGTCCCCCCCACTTCTCCACCCAGCCAAGGACTGGGGGGCAACGGGAGGGTCGCAGGGGCAGTCAGGGATGGTGGGGCTGGAAGACTCTGGGTCTGCGCTAAGCTGGGAAAACACAATCTTTGCCCCATTCCTTCCCCCTCTACTTTTCAGGCCTTGGCGTTATTAGATCTACGTTCAAAAGGGGGGGAAAAAAAGGAAACGATTAGGGGCAGCAGTGCTAACCTAGCACGCAGCAATATCCATTACCTAGGAGGCTGCTACGCTGCAATTAGTTGTAAGCGGTCTTTAGCATTTTCATTAGCTCTTAGATGCTTCTGACGTACTTAATTTACGCCACAGAAAAGCGCAGAAGATGGCAGACGGTGATTAAGAAGCACTTCTACTCTTCTAGAGTGCACCGAGTACCTTCTAGCTACGGACCACGCATATAAAGCAATATTGCTTATTATTCAGAGCTGTTTGTTACATTAATCATGTGCCTACTCCGCTCTGGGAAGAGGGATTAGAATATAGCCAGATTCTGTCTGCTTGTTTTTAAAATACATGTGTGGGTGGACACTCCAGCTACTGCTCACATTTTTCTCTTGCGAGTCGCAGGAGAGCTGTTCATGATTCTCCTCCCTGGTATTTTCTCTTGACACTAATTTTGTCGGCCAGACTCAGGAAGGAAGCTGCCTCAAGCCAGTCAACGAGTGTTGCAAGGAAATTATAAGTATTGCTAATTGAGAAATGTTGGAATTTCTGGATTGCAGAGAGGAAACCTTGGATCAGCTTTAAAATGAAAGGTCCTGTAGTATTTTTCCTCCAGCAAAGCAGCTGAAGGCCTACAGTGCTATTATCTCTGTCCATTAAAACACTTATGATTTGACACCTTTTAGTCTGAATATTGCCTGGCAAGTTCTCAGAAATGCACTGCAATGCTGTTTCTGAAAATTATTTAAGAGCTCTACAGTAGTAGAAAGCAAGGAACTCATTTTTAAGAGCAAGGTTTGAGCCAAGCTTTAAAGCATGCTCGAGAGCCTGAAACGCAGATCTAAGGAAAACTTGTGTTAATGCTCCACTCAGTCCATGCTGCTTCCAATTTAAAGCAGCTGCTTGGTGCAGAAACTGAAAGACAGAGTTAAATTAGTGCTGGAAATACACACCTAGCTGGTCAAAGCTAGGGATTGCCAGTCCTCACTAAGTCCTGAGGCAGAGGGTAGCGAGTAAACACAGTGACTTTGCCTGAAATGTCTCAGCCTTCATCCAGCCACCCAGGCTACCGGCAGGTCTCACAATTCCTTCGGGACATTGCACAGGGAATTTCTGCAGTCAACTGTGTTCACCTCATGATCCTGGAAAGACATGACGGAGGCATTCATAGCAAGTCAACAAGTTGTACTGGCATTGTCCTTGACCTTGTCTCATCACATGGGAACTTGTGAAGAACATTGCAGAAAAACGGCGAGTTCTGCGATTGACTCAGGAGAAAGAAACAAAAAACAAAAAAACACGAGGCAAAAAAAAAAAAAAGATAAAAACAACCAACTTGAGAAACAGTGGGTTACCATTCTGCTCGCCAGATACAGTGTGTCAAGGCATGTCTCCAAGTTGGAGTTTATATGATGCATGAATAGCTCCACAAAAAACATGTTGTCACTGTCTTCCATCTGAATATCATCTACTTTTTTCTTTAAAAAAACCCTCAGATCAGTTCAATTTTTTAAACTGCACTTATTCAAAAAAGGCTAAAGCATTTACTTCCAACATATACTCCCTTACACTACAAAACACTGTAATCCTTGACGAAAAATCATTATTCCTTTAATTCAGCAAAATGCTCCTACATGAGAAAGAAAATTTAAGCGCGCGTGCAATAAACTCCTCAAAGGCTATCGGCAAGAGCCACGTACTACTTCAAGTAAAAACTTACCCATCCGTCCCTAAAAAATGATGGATCTTCAGCTATTCCCATTAGTCTGAGGGCCGTAACTCTACAGCTACGCCATTTCTCCGGAATAATGATGTTAGCCCAAGAGTGCTGGTTACAAGAGCACACGAGGAACGATGCCACCATCTCTCCCAGCACACACAAACCCACCAGAGCCGGGTTATGAGGAAGTGGATCCGAATACAAGGTTTAGAAAGTAAAGTTCATTTCCAAGTGGAATGCAGACACTGTTTTGTAACGATTAATGAGCGTCCCCAAGCAATATGGTATTTTTCACTCTGTTACTAACTATAGTCATTCTCTACATAGCTCCCTGGAAGATTGTCAAGATAGCGCCCCATGATTTAGATTTGTATAGAACTTTTACTAGCCAACATCTTGCCAGCCATCGGTTCAATTAAAATAAATTTCCCTTCTTATAAGAATGACAGATTACACTCGCAGATCAGACTTGTTCAGTTTATATGGAAACAAATACAATTATACAGTTTAGCAATACAGTTTTAGTTTACAATACAATAGATCTAGCACACCCAGAACATCCATTATTTACACAGCGTGAAAGGCAGCCACAGCAGGCATCACTGGCTCCCAGTCTGCTCTAAGCTGGGACTTGGGGTGCGGGGGCCCCCACACCACCACCCTGCATCTCCAGGAGCACCTGAGCATCTCCACTGCCCACGCAGCCCGTGGGACCTCCTCTCGTGGCCACCGAAGGCAGCGTGGGGCATCTGCCAGTGATTCTCCCAGCTGCAGGAGGGACTGAGCCCGTTTCGTTCCCATCAGTCGTTCCTTGTGCTCTGCTGGACCCCGGTCCCCAGTTTGCTCCGGGAAAACACCGCAGTGATAATGACACGTTACAGAACATCTTGGCTGTGTGAAAAATTGCAGATACACGCTGCCCTGCCTTTGCACAGGCATCTCCATGAAGGCAGTGGGAGTTGCAGAGACATTATTAGGCCTCATGACATTTTAAAAAGGCTTAAATATAAAACGTCTTATAGGGGTTTCAAAGGCTGGAACGGAACTGAAAGTCTTTGCAATAATAATTGCCAGATGCTAAAAACGACCCACAGAGAAGCATTGCATAATTGCTTGGAAATGAAAGAACAGAGAGATCAAAGTCCATGCGCAAAGTTAGAGAGGAAAAAGCCCGAGTTATATTCAAGCAAAGCCATTAAGGCTGTTTCTCCAGCTGCCCTCAGCTTGACTCACCCCTGACTGCAAGAGAGGCGAGGGTTACACGCAGCAGTGGCAGAGAGGACTACACCAGTCAGCACCACAGGTCCAGAGCAGGAAGCTCGTGGGGTGTCACCTCTAGCAAGAAAAATCAGGTGTAGAGCCTTTGTATCAGCTTGGCAAATCCACACTTTACTTTGGCAAGCAAGCGTAACACTTCAGTCAGCACCGAACAGTCATGCAGAACTCGCTTGGGATCCTGAAATCATGAGTGAGTTTTTCTGCTGAATCAGAGGGTATGAGGGCTCCAGCTGTAACTGGGGCAAACTCCCACGGCACGCAGGGAGCCAACTGACCCCTCCTGTTGGTGTGGGAACAGCCCGAGGAGACTAGAAAAGCAGCTCACGGACAGATGTAGGAGACAACGGAGCATCGGGAGCCAGCGTTGATTGTAAAAGTGGTTCAAATATGTGAGAGACCAACATGGATACAAACCTCAGGGCTTTGTGTATTAGTCTGCAACACATGAACAAATAATGGCTGAGAGAACAGGCCCTTCTCTAGCACCTTGTGTAGAAAACCAGCAGTTATTAATAGACAGGAATGCTTTCAAACTAAGAAAGGGTGTGTACTTTCCAGCATCTCCTGTTCGGTATTTCGTTCATCTTCAACAATAAAATTGTTTCACTAGAAAAGTGCTATAAAAAGAAGCAATTTCTCCCTCCTTTGTCTCTTGCGTCAAGACTGTTGCTGTGTAAAAAGCAAATCTACAGTGAAGTACTGAAGTCCTTACAGTCTTCTGCTTGGACTAACACGTACACAGAGTAGGAGATCTACGGCAAAGCCCGACAGTGAATACTTGCACTTATTGTCTTGAAATCTTTCCCAACCATGCACTGCAGATGAGGCTTATCGTGCTTGTCTCTTATTAACAACAGCCAAAGAAAAGAGCAGGGAGAGGGAGACGAGGTACATGCCTCTAGTCCTTTGATTTGTGGGAAGTGTCCACTAAAAGTTTCCATCGGATAGGAGTTTGAACCAACTTATCATGTCTCAATTAAAACCTGGGTAACTTGGATGAAACAAGAGCGGGGGAAAAAGGTGGCTAAGAGAACTCTAGGGAGATTGCAAAGGTAGCTTCAGCCACATGCAAAGCCACACTGACAGCTGGGAAAGGAAAGGCAAATTGCCAAGATAACCAGCTACTACATCAACCGGTACTTAAAACTGCCTAATTACCTTCATGAAGGAGGCAGCTCTTGCTTAAGGACACCAGGAATCACCCCTGGATTTGGAGCCAGAGGATGTGCAACCTCTTACCTCGGCAAACAGGGGAAGTCAGAGTAAAGTGGGGAAAAAAAAAAAAAAAAAAAGGCAAACAGCCTGGTTATATGCAGGAATAGCTGTAATCACTCACAGAACTGCAGAAGTCTCGGGAATTGCACAGCACACAGGAAAACTTAATTTCTACCATGGAAGAAGTGCGTCTTTGGTAGGCAAGCCAATCCGTCTGCCAAAAATGTAAGCATCCGGAGCCACATACATGTTGATTTGCAGTGCAAATGCCTAGCTTTGTTAAAAGATTTGCTCTGGTCAACAGATTCCTGAAAACAATTTTTGAAGTACACACATTATAGACACCATGATTTCTGTCAAGCTAATAGGCTGGAAGTACTTAAAAACTAGCATGTACTCACAGGAATAGAGATGTTTGTTTCTGACTGACATTATTATCTTCTGTAAACTTCCTGCATTAAAAACTTCTAGTCACATGTAATTGCTAACATCGAACATTTATTGTTTTAAAAAAATAAACATGCAGAAAGCCATCCTCTTAAAAACCAACACATAAAATAATCCAGCAGAAATTTTAGAGAAAAGCAATAGCGCTATAAGGCATAGATTTGACTGAGACCTCCAGCAGAAATGCATTTTCTGTGGGAGTCCATGCTCCAATTACACCATGCAGTGGTGCGAGTCCAGCCAAAGTCCATCACATAACAGAGCACTTGCCTTGCAGCTTATCTTTCTTTTTCTGCTGCTTGGATTTCTTTCCATCCACCTGGAGACTGACAGTTCTCCTCTTCTCCAGATTCAAGAGCTCCTGGAAGAGCTCCTGCACATTGTAGTTCATTTTGGCCGATGTCTCCATAAAGGAGCATTTCCACTTGCTGGCTAACGCTTGCCCCTCGCTGGCATCCAGCTCCCTCTGGGTCTCGTCACTTTTGTTACCCACCAACATTATCGGGATTTTCTGGATGTCCCCTTTAATCTGACAAATCTGTTCAAAGATGGGCTGAAGATCTTCCATGGACTGCCTGCTGGTGACAGAGTACACCAAGATGAAAGCATGCCCTTTGGATATAGACAGCCTCTGCATAGCAGGGAACTGATGGCTTCCCGTGGTGTCTGTAATCTGAAGGGTGCAGATGCTCTTATCGCAGCTGATTACCTGCCGGTACGTATCTTCGATTGTGGGGATATAGGTTTCCCTGAAAGTTCCCCTTACAAAACGAAGGACCAAGGAGCTTTTGCCAACCCCTGCTGCTCCAAACACAACCACCCTATAATCATTGCTTTGTTCAGGCATGTTTGCTGTGCTGCAACAGAAGTGAAGATTTTAACTGAAAAAGCCAGAGTTCTTCAAGTTTACACACCCCTATACAGAGGTGGCCTGCGGAGAAGGGAGAGGGAGGGAGCAAAAGGGAGAGGGAGGGAGCAAAACAGAAAGAGGAGCAGAGGGAAAGAAAGAAAAAGAAATCGTTCACACCACCTCGGTAATTTTACGGTACGTTACTGAAATAATAACTCACTTCCCTCCCATCTTTTCTTCTTGCGTTAAAGAGAAATAAACCACTATTCCCCCCCCCCCCCCCCCCTCCGGCATACATCCCATGCACGCTTAACGTTATGAGAACTGAAAACGAATTCACCTGTAGCCATCAGCTCCACCGCCCAGCCGAACGAGTCTACGATCGCCCAGCAGCAGCGGGGAAGCCGTGGCACCTCCGTGCCTGCCCCCGCCTCCTTCCTCCTCCTTCCTCCTCCTCCTCCTCCTCCTCCCCCCGGCCTGCGGGGGGCTCCCCCGCTCCCGCTCGGCCCCGGCGGGCAGGCAGGGCTCCCGGGGCTCCCGCCTTTCTCTCCCTTCCTCTCCGCTCCATCCACCCCCCGGCCGCGCCAGGAGCCGGGCGCTGCCGCGTCCCTGAGGAGGGATGGCCGCTACCGCAGCGGGCTGCGCCAGCGCCCCGGACCCGCCTACTCCCCTCCGCCTCAAAACCCCCCCATAAAAATCCAACCTTCCCCCTCAAAAGCTTGATTAAAAAAAAAAAAAAAAAAAAAAAAAAAAAGGCAGTAGATAGTCAACACAGCCAGCCGAATCTGGTAATGAGAGCTGCGGGAGCCAAGTTTCTGGTGCTCCGTCCCTCCAACTCCGCGCAGAAATAAACGCGAGCCGCTTTTCCCACCATCGCACCTCTTTTAGCCCCCACCCTGCGCCGCAGACCCTCAGGGTCTTCCCAGCTCACATTTAAGGCTGATTTTGCTTCAACGTTTAAAAATTGGGGTCAGCTTTCCAGCCCTGCTGCTATTAAAGGCGGCGGGGATGACGTGCGGTACTCCCGCAGCCCTCCCTCCAGAGAAGCCACCCAACCTTTCAGGCTGCGGCTGCCCGAGGTCCGCTATTTCGATTTGGCTCCCTCACACTGACATACCCAAGTGTTTTATTTCACAGCCAGAGGTTGTTATTTCTCCCCCTTTATGAGAAATTTCCCCCAAAGACCCTCTCTTCCCGCCCCCCCCCCGGGTAACCCAGCGCCTAGCAGGAGAAGGCGCCCACCTCCCCCCCTGCTACCCCTCCCACACAACCCGCAGCCGAGCGCCGGGCTCGGAGCTGCCGCCCTCAAGCCCCGTCCTGCCCCGGCGCCTCCTCTCCCCGAGCCGCCCACCGCCATGTCGGGCGGGAGAGGGCGCCCGGCAGCCGCCTCACGGTCCCTTCCCCGGCCCCGCCGCCCCGCTCCCGCAGGGGCTGCCCGCGCCCTCCCTCACGCCGCAAAATGGCTGCCGGCCCTCAGGCTTGGGGGGAAGCTGAGGGCGGGCGCCTTTAGTCAGGCTCCAGCCGGCACCCCGGAGCTGCCCACCTGCCCCCAGAGAAAGACCTCCACCCCAGGGGCCATGCCGGGCCCGGTAGCGGGTTAATATGGACACCCAAATTGGCCAGTTGGCCACCGCGGTGCTCCCCTGCCTTTGCTGGCGGGGGGGGGGGGCAGCAGCTCCCGGCCCCAGGGAGCGGGAGGGCCGGAGGGCACCAGCCTGGGAGCAGAGGTTCAACGTTCGTCAGGTTGGCAGGCAGAATTTATTTAACACCCAATTCCTGAGGACAGCCAGTCCCAGCAACGTCTCCCACCGTGACAAAACCATCCTCACCTCTGGTGGTGACTGGGAGGGGGGTGCTGCATTGCCTGGGGATTCTCCCCCCCCCCCCCCCCCCCAGATTTTTTTTTTTTTTTTCCCCCCTGAGCATGACCTTGGACTTGGACCAGAGCTTCCCATCTGGAAATCTGCAAAAAACCCACAGGTCCCTGGCTTGTTGTCAAGGGGGAGTCAACGAGGAGCTGAGCTACCCCAGGGGGAGAGGATGGTCCCCGGGCAGCACACTTGGACAAGGCCAGGGCTGGGAAACAAGGCATACACCAATTTAAAAATGTGACAAAGGGTGTTTGTGGTGCTGTGCTGCCGGGACATTCACCAGAAAGAGAGCCAGAGGGGCAAACATCCCTGTTAACAGCTCAGCTCCGACTGAGAGACTTGAAAATGGGGGTACCCTTGGCTAAGGTGTGTCTTCAGGGTCTGGCTCTCTGGTCTGTAACTGTCATGCTGCCCAAAATGGGGGCATTTAAGAACCCCTTTTGCAAAGCTTCACTCTTTTATTATTGTTAAACTATGGAGGGACAAACTCTGCAGCTGAAGGGGCCAATACAACGGCCTGAGGACCTCCCAGTGCCACCAACCTCAGGAGGGGGACAGTCCAGAGCTCTTTCCCCCCTCACAGAGGTTGTAACTGAAAACAGGGTTAAAGACGGTGCCATAGATGTTTCCCCTGATTCTGTGGGCCACCGAGCCTGATTTGGGGAATAACAGCTCTTAAAAGGGGCAAATAAAATACTTCTGAAAGTCTACAGGAACTTCTGCAGGTTGCAGAACTACTGCAGCTTCTCCTGCAGACCTGCCTGGCCATGGCCTCCCATCCACCCCAGCCGCACACATTTCTGCCTGGCCCTTTGGTGGCACGTCTCGGACAGCAAGCTTGCCCACTCCGGTCCCCTGCTCCTCCCGTGCTCCCCGTGCAGACCGACTGCGACTGTCTTTTTCACAGGCTATACTCTCTAAGAAATAATTGTTTATCCCAACACACGGTGCTTACTAGCATATCACAGAACCACAGGCTGGTTTGGGTGGGAAGGGACCTCAAACTCCTCCCGAGTGCCACCCCCTGCCCCGGGCAGGGCCCCCTTCCCCCAGCCCAGGGGGCTCCCAGCCCCGTCCAACCTGGCCTTGAACCCTTCCAGGGAGGGGGCACCCACAGCTGCTCTGGGCACCCGGGGCCAGCGCCTCACCCCCCCCACAGGGAACAATTTCTGCCTCAGATCTCACCTAAATCTGCCCTCTCTCAATGCAAACCCGTCCCCCCTCGTCCTACCCCCACCCCCTGACCCAGAGTCCCTCCCCACCTTTCCTGTCCCCCCTTTAAGCCCTGGGAGGCCGCTCGAAGGTCTCCCCGGAGCCTTCTCTTCTCCAGGCTGAACCCCCCCAACTCTCTCAGCCCGGCCTCCCCGGGGAGCTGCTCCAGCCCCCCCAGCATCTTCGTGGCCTCCTCTGGCCCCGCTTGAGCAGTTCCGTGTCCTTCTGATGTTGGGGTGCTCAGAGTTTAAAATAAAGCCTCGGAGCTGGCTGAGTGGATAGCTGCAGGCTCTGTAACCTTTTCCTTGGCATGAGGGAGGGCAGCTGATGGGAGCTTGGGTCTTGATGCCAACGTACCTCAAAGCACTGGAGTGTTTCCCGGAGCTAACGCCTCCCCTTCCTGCAGGGCAGCAACTGGCACCAGCCCTTGCATTACCTTGAAGGGAGAAAATGATCCGGTTCCCTGCTTGAAACCATTTCTGTAGCTGTTCAGCTGGCATCAGGGTCTGGTTGGGCAGAAATTGAAAGGGATCCACCGTTCAGAAACTCTGGGCAGGTTTCATTTTGGTACCTCATCACTGTCTGAAGGGATGCTGAAGAGGCTGTGCTGCAGAGGAAAGGCAGGTTTCTGCATCCGAGGGGAGCCAGGCAGGGCACACGCCACTGCTTCTCATGGAGAAATGTGTTGGTGTGAGCGTGGCTGTGTGTGCAACAGGAGCTCACCCTTTTCTCGAAGCCTGCGGGTGGTTTTCATTCTTCCTGATGCTGGAGAAAGCTCTTTGCCCACACCAGTGCCAGCTTTGTTGGACGTGTGCCCGTCTTTGTTCTGAGCAGCAACTTGGGAAGAGCAGATCTGCGCCAGGAACCGAACTGACTTTGCATGAGGAGGTGGTTAGCGCTGTGACACCCTTCCCCGTCAGTGCAGCAGCAGCTGCAATCCCCCCACGGCTCAGGTGCTGCTGAGAAATTAAGGAATAACAGCTGAGCATCTGCAGATAGACACGCATTAGTACTGCTAATTAGCCACCCACAGCAGGGCTGTGCTGTCCCATGTCACCGCTGGGGTAGTACCTGCTGGGTCCAGAATCTGTTGACACAGGCATGTCCTTGTGTCAGGCTCCGAGAATGCTGCTCATGTATTAGCAGGCAAATTTCTGAAGGCTGAAAGGGCAATGCTTCCCTTTCCAGGTAGTCTCTCCTTCTTTTGAGGGGAAAAAAAAACCAACCAAACAAAAAAACAACAGGTCATGAAGGCATTGAGAAGGTTCCCTGCATGTTTCTCCTCTCCTGTTTGCGCTCACTGTGCTTCTACGTTTTCCTGCTGTCACATATTTTGTCCTTCCTCTGTATGTTTTTAGCCTACTAAAAATTAATGCACTTCATGAACCGTTTACGCTTGGGGCCATAACTGGATTATATACAACCTGGTCACATCCTGACTTCTGGTGGTCCCAGTTCTTTCCCACTCTATGTGGACACTTCCATGGAAAAATCTACTGCCTGGAGCATCCCCAATATAGCAGCATCTGTTACCAAGCCTGCATCTGCTGTGCAGAAGGCTACTGCAACAAGGCCATTCCTGTTTGGGTTTCTGTCTCTCAGTTAAGCACTTAAGCAATTTCTGTCTGTGGCCAAATCTCACTTGGGGAGGCACGGCAGCACCTAAAGTGCTAGTGAGCGCTTGCGGAGGAAACACTTCTCAGCCCTCCTCCAAGTCCGTTCTTCTGAAACCTTTTGTGGTTTTCCAGGTTATCATTTCTTATTTCTCTGATACTTGCTGTGTCGCCGACTCCATGTTATTCTCCCACCTATTTTAAATCCACTCCTATCCTTACTGAGCAGCCTTGTAATGCTTGCCTCCTATCCCAAACAAACAAACAAAAAAATGCCTTCAGACCTATTTCATACTGCTCTGGATTTTTTTATCTGACACAAAAAACTCAGAGGATTTTCTCAAGGAGCTTCAATCTTGACATGAGGCCCTGTCAAGTCCTGTCATCATTCACTGCATTATTTACTAGGGGAAAATGAAAGCAGATGCTCAACTACTGGGCCAGCTGTTTTAGATGCAAAAGCAAGCTGTCTCAAAGTCAGCTGCTGATAAATATTAGGGCTGATTCTCATCTCAGCTGTACAACATATGCAGAGAACACCAGATTTTTGCAAGGTACTTAGAAACACCCGGGATAGAATTTGGATCAAATCCATTTGAATGTAAGGGGAGCTGTAGCTGAGACCTTTGAAAAGAAGCCTCTAAAGCCAGAATGGTGCCTACTTGCACTGAGCTACTTTGAAAGATCCTGTCTGAAATAATAATAATTATATAATGATATATAATAATAATAACAGCAGCAACAACAAAAATGAAAATAGAGGAATAAACCAGATCTCTTTAACAGTACGCTAATCAATATTGCTTTATGCTTAATACAAAGGAATGAAAATTAGTTCTAATAAACTGTGCTGCTATTACACTAGAGAATTATTAGTGCTGCAGTCACAGCTGCTGAATCACAACTGTTTTGAGACCTGATGCTATTCAGGAGATTTTTCTCCTGTTGTTAATTAGTCATCTCAATAAACCTGCGCTCAGCTCCGTAGGTGTAAATACAAGGAGTTGCCTGCTGAGTAACCACGTCAGATTACATGTGTCAGACTGAGCCACACCAAACGCTTCATGTGGCGAAATGTCGGGAGGAGCATCGCTGGGGTAGCAAGGTGCCCCGAAGAAGTCAGAGGACAGGCGTGCTCCTGCTTGGTGCTGTATGACATACGTGGCCAGAGTCCCACGCGTGCTGGCAGCAGCATGCTCCCATGCAGATATTGCTGCGTAGGGACTTGTGGAGATCTGCCTGGTCACGTCAGCAGCAATTTTCTACAGGCTTTCCTTCAGTATGCCTTTTCTCTTTGCTTTGTTAAGGCCTCTGCAATCCCAGAACATCTTAGTTTGAAAATCCAGACGTAATCCTAAAACATCTTACTTCAAGGTGTCTGGCACCATCAGCTGACCCATGCTC